GAAGAAAAAACCTACTGCTTTTCAAAAGTCCGCAGCTTAGGGAGTTATGTGTGTGGGTCCATCTTAATAGATGGGAACTCAAATTTTCTATTACTTGAGTCAACCAATTAAGGGGGACTACTCTCATTTAAATGATTATGTTAATGGTCACGTTTAAGAAGCAAAATCCTGGGGTGCCTGGGTGGCTCAGTGGGTTAAGCCTCTGCCTTCAGCTCAGGTCATGATCCCAGGTCCTGGGATGGAGCCCTGCATCAGGCTCTCTGCTCAGCGGGGAGCCTGCTTCCCACCCCCCCTCCCCCGCCTGCCTCTCTGCCTACTTGTGATCTCTGTCAAATAAATAAAATCTTAAAAAAAAAAAAAAAAGCAGCAGCAAAATCCTGGTATATATTATCACAAAAAAGATGAAGAGGGGCCCTCAACAGGTCTAAACCACAGGCCCTTAGAAAAAACAATCATGCAACAGAGGCTTACCATCTGGTGATATTTGCAGTGAGAAATGCCATTGCCAAAGGGATAAAAACACTAGCATTCTGGCAACAATATTCTTAGAACTTTATGCCACTCGGGCCTGCTCCTGTCATCCCTCATTACTTCCCTAAATGCCTTTTCTCCTCCATACTCCCAGATCCCCACTCAGCTGTTTCTCTTTCCTGTATCCATGCCCACTGCCCCCCAACTGGCAGCACACAGTTGCCCTCACTCCTAATCTATCCCACAGTTCCTCTGGAGTCTTCTCTTCTCACACCCCTGGTGTTTTCCCTGAATGTTGCTTCCACTTCCTGGACTCCCACGAAAATTGACGCTTACCTGAGGGCACCCCTGTTCCTACACAGAAGGCTACACATTCCTCCCTTGTTACACAGACTAGAGATTGCAGAGATGATGTTCTCATTTCCCACTTGTTTCTGCATGATTGCTTCTTCCCACCTCATACAGAAATCTCTCATTACCACAATTCATGGAATCGAGTTATTTTTACTTTTACCATTCTCTGTGGCCATGATGTAGTCAACGTCCCAGATCTCCCAGTCTTTGGCACTGAGCTTCCTGTTTCCACCATCCTACTGGATGATTTCAGTGTTCCTGAGGAAAACCCACTCCACAGTCTTGGCACAGTTGCTTACAGTTTTTACTGCTTTTCAGTTTTGGCCATTTGCCTCCAGGGTTACACATTATGCTGTTTCACAATCCAGAACTCTGTGATCCCAAACTCTCATATTCCATTCTCAGAACTCCTATCCTTGCTCCTTTATTCCTTTGACTTTTCAAAATTACTAATGCCTGCCCCCCCCCACCCTTTCCGACAGACAGTACGCCCAACCAGACTTCTTCCTTCCCTAGCCTTTCCAGACCCCAAGCTACACCATCTCAACTCTTCCTGCCAGCACCACTAACTCCCTTGACCACTTCAGCCATACCTGCTTTGTGAACCTCCAAACTAGGACCAGGACTCTTACCACCCATCTTCTCCACTCTTAATTATCTATTGGGTTAGACCAGAGAAAAATCATAAAACTGTGGCCAGAGAGCCTTTGAAAATTTATGGTTTACCACCTCAGCAGTACCCTCATTCCCAAAACTCACAAAAAGCTATTCCACTATTCTAAGTCTCCTCCTAGATTGACCCCACCACCACCAAAATTGCCTCTTACTTCACAACTTCCTGCTGTTAGATGTTTCTTCCACTCCCACGCCCCCAACAGTCACTTCCCCTTCTCCATGTACATGTGTATCTAACCCCCCTTCTAGCTCAGAGAAATTGCTATCCCTTCTGCCCAAGGGCTCCCAAGAACACTTTCTAATTCACTACTTCTTCATTCTAATTCACTACTCTGGACCAACCAATCTGACTTCCACCCCCCTTGCTCCATTAAAATTTCTCTTACTAGTCACCAATGATCTAATAACCAAATCCAACAGTCAGTTCTCAGTCTCTTAACTTCCTTATTTGATACTGTTCATTTTTTTTTCTTTAAAGATTTTGAGAGAGAGAGAGTACATGCCCACAGAGGGAGAAGCAGACTCCCCGCTGAGCAGGAAGCCTGGCATGGGGCTCGATCCCAGGACCCAGAGATCATGAACAGAGATGAAGGCAGCCACCCAACCGAACCTCCCAGGCACCCCTGATCACTTCTTCCTTGCAACACTAGTTCACCTTGTCTTAGATTTCCATTTCCTTAGTCTTGTTCATTTGAAAGCTTCCTCTTCCTCTGCTCTTAAATGTTGTTATTCACCAGAATTCTGTCCTCTTTTCTTTCCACTTTATCACCCACACAGTGGTGACACCCACCCCATGCCCTCTCACCTCTTAGACTTTTTAAATGGTTGGGTAACTGATCTCCCTGCATTCTCATTGACACCTGTCCATTCTCCAAACCGATTGGACATATTGCTGCCAAAGTTGTCTAATATAGGAGAGTGGATCTCATCAAAGTCACCTTGAGTGTGTTAAAACAGACATCTGGGTTCTATTCAAAGTTTATGCTTCAGTAGGTTTGGGGCAGGGCTTGAAATTGTTTCTAATAAGTTCCCAGTTAGGCGATGCTGCTGCTGCAGATCCAGAGATTATATTTTGAGAACTCCTGACTTAAGAACCCTCTGGGTCATGAGTCCTAAATTGAAAATCTTTCACTAGCTGTCTTTAATTCCTAGACTTCTGTCTGCTTAAGAATTACTTGAAGTGTTTGTGAAAGAGGCAGTTTTGGGCTTTACTCTCAGGATTCTGACCTAGTAGATCTGATATAGTGTCCAAGGATCACACCTTTGAGAACCTGTGATCTAGAAGATAATAAAAGTTCAAACCCCTTAACATGGACTTTGAGTCCTCCTATAATCTAGTCATTGCCTACTTCTCTAGTATTATTGAACTAGTTATTTAAGAACTGGTGCAAGTCCATGCCTTGGGTTTTTGTATATCCTATTCCCCTGCATGCAAACTCTCCCCTTCATTTATGTGGTATTCTCCCAGTCCTCCCTTAAAATGCTATGTGTTACTGCTCCAGTGAAGTCCTCCCTGACACTGCAGATTCCAAGCAAAGTTGGAGACTCTTCTCTGCATCACCTCTGCACTTTGTATATACTTCCTTTCCGAACACCCCTTTGTTATTATTGATTTACTTACCTGCCTTGTATTAATCAACTCTAAACATCACTATCTCTGGCACCCAGCAGTGTCCAGTACATAATAATTGCTCAGGAAACAGAAATGGGAAAGGGGTAGTGGGGTGATGATTTGATAGGGAGGGGAAAGAAGCTTAAGGAATATAACATGGAATCAGAATAAATAGGATACTGAGGAACATCTCCATCATGCTCATGCCTGTGAACTATTTTCCTCTACTTACCTACCTTAAGTCACCCTAACAGCTGGTCGAGCATCTTCCTTCCTTTTCTTGTATCCAAAGTTCACCCAACTGATCTTTTGCTATATACCATTTTTCCACATACCATTTAATTTCTCAGTATATAAACAACCACCAAAAGGCCATCCTTTACTGAGTATGGATCTCCTATCACTAAGCAAAGATGATGTTGTCCTTTCTCTCACATGATCTGTAAGTAGTAGGATACACAGGTCACTGGTAATTTTTCTCTTCCCCATCTGAATGTGGCACCTCCTAAAAGGGCATCTGAAATGCGTACCAGCACATTGAACTGCAACTTCTATCTCCCGGATGCTGTCGTATCTGAAAAGAGAGGGGGCACTTCTTCATTCCTATACCCCAAACTAGCTTCTATTTCTTATCCTCATTCATTTGTTTAGCCAGCCTGGCATCTGGTCCTCCTGTACCATCCTGTTTAGGATTATGGCCAAGGTCAAACCAGAGCGGGTGTTATCTACTACAGACTACTACAAGAGTAGTCTGTTATCTCTAATCAGTTATCTGGGCTATCTTTCAGTGACAAAACCAACTTGGAGCCATTTTGATGAGACATCTTCATGTCAGGACCACCCAGTTTGCTCTTAACTGTCAAGTAACCTCATCAAGATGTTTATTAGTCAAGGGGTGCCTGGGTGGCTCAGTCGGTCAAGCATCTGCCTTTGGCTCAGGTCATAATCCCAGGGTTCTGGGATCGAGGCCCGAGTTGGGCTCCCTGCTCAGCCAGGGAGTCTGCTTCTCCTTCTGTCTCTCCCCCTCTCCACCACTCATGTATTCTTTCTCTCTCAAATAAATGAAATCTTTAAAAAAAAAAAAAAAAAGAAAGAAAGAAAGAAAGAAAAGAAATTTATTAGTCAAAAGAAAGCCTATTTTTAAGACCCTAAGGAAAGAATACTGAAATGGTAACTTTCCTGTCCTCCTTCACTCTGAGAACTACCGTATTTAGGCTGAACCATTTATGAAACCAACCAATACACTGTGGTTACCTTGCTATTTTTCCAATATATTAAAAGGGTTCCCAGCTTAGGCCAATGCCTTTCCCCAAAGCTATTTATATGGCTTAGTCTTGCTTCATTGCTGTGCTCAGAAATTACCTTCTCAGAGATGCCTTCTAGCAATGCTACTCCTAGTACTTTTTATTTCCTTGCCCTGATTTATTTTCTCTTTACTATACTTACTACTACTACCAGGGACATTATATATAAACTTATTTATGGCATACCTTGCACCCCCCACATTGTAAGTTCTATGAAGGCAGGGCCTTTGCATTTTTTACTCACTGCTGTCCATATCCCCAGTGCCTAACATGGTGCCTGGTGGTCAACATGCATTTGTTAAATAGCTAAATAGATTCAAACTGCCAAATTATATAACTTAAAAAAAAGTATACACATCAAAATACTTAAGTAAACAATGGTTAATTTAAATACAGAAGTCACCTTGGGTAGCTGTATATATACCCTAGCCCTCATTATGCTGCCTTGCTGAAAACCTGCTGGGAATGCTTCTGTAAGAATTGTTTTCAGAGCCAGTTTATGAAATTACATGATTGGTCTTTTTACTTTATAAGTCATATTGTGTCTCACCAAAAAGTTCACAGTGTGAAAAAGCCAAACCAAGCACAGAAAACATATGAGAATATATTTCAGGCTCTCAAGACAAGGCCTCAGAAGTTTAGATGACTAGTGACATCAATTGACTAAGATCACCTCTCGAGAATACGGACATGGACTGGCAAGGGTTAATGCTCGCAAACACAGAGGTTCTGGAATTTGAAACTAAAAACACACATTTTAGGCACAGATCAAATTATCGGGGGACAAAGAGGTAACTTCTTCTATTTCACTTCTGCTTATAACTCCGAACATGCCGTTGTAGGTGGGCTGCTGCTTAGACTGTATCCAAGATTGTTTAGCTGAGGACTGGCCCATTCTTCTAGGCTGCAGGGATCTTCAGCCTGCCCACATTCCAGCCCACATGGCATTTGCACTCATCTTCTCCCACTGGTCCAGCCATACATCTTCTTCCTGGGTGTGGACACTCTAAAGACTTTGCCTTAAAAATTATCATTTCAAACAGCTAATAATTAAAGAAAAATCTTAAGAGGCGAAAGAAGTGAAAGAACAGGGAAAATAACAGCAATATCCGCTGAGTTTCAGGATAGCACCTTATTCGTAAGTACTTTTGAATGTCATTGGGCAGAACTAAATGCTGAGTTTTCCTCCCATGATGCAACAGAGAGAGTCCCAGCCAGGACCATAAGCCACGCTTTGCCCCAAGTATTCCAATACTGTTAGCCAGCCAAAGAGAAAGAGAATAGGTGCTGTCAGGCAACTCCACTGATCTCCGTTTCTGTAGCAGGAAGGCCAACTGAGGATTAAAGATATTGAGAGGACTGGGAAAGTAGACATACCGAAGGTACGGTGTCAAGTGATACAGGAGATGTGTTGTAAATGAATGAGTTATTCCAGAGCCATACGAACAAATCAATCTCTTTACTGGAGAGGCACACCTCTCATCCTGTGTTATTATTCAAATGTACTAACACATGAAAGATCACATCACCTTGTTTGTGGATACATTTAATATCCCTTACCCTTCCCACCTTTCAAAACATAATAGTATACAAAATATAAAATATCTTAAATATTTATAAAAATTGCAAGAAAAAAAATAGAACGTATGAAAATATTTTTATCTGAGTTCTCCCTCATTGTTGAGAGGCAGCTTAGTTTGCCTTGAGTTCATAACTGTTGAGTGGGTAGGAGTATGCCCTGCCTAATACTATTCTGTCCCGGAGAAGTTTAAATAAAACATAGTAGTTGCAGAAGAGGATGAGAGCCATGGAAAGTGTGTGGTTCCACTTCTCTGACCGCAGCAAAGAATAGAGCTGGTAGAAGACGACACTGCCCTCAATAAGGATAAGCAGATTTAACAGCCTTAATGGACGATGAAATAGGAACTGTAAGGAAGGTGAAAAGCAAAATATTATTTCATAAAAAAGTAAAGATTACAGTTATTCTCACATTTTTCTCCTAAAATAATTTCATATTTACAGGTTCCTATGTGCCATAACATATAGATCTGCTTACTGAACATCAATCAGGCTATTTATTGCTGTAGAGACCCAATCCTTTTCCTTTTTGCTCAATGAATAATAAAATAAATTTTATTTCAAAATGTCCTGAGATAGGAAAAAGGATCACACTTAAAAGAACTGCCTCTAAACATTTTTCTTAAATTCTATCTTATCTTGGGTATATATTTTATTTGAGATAATCAAAAGTACATTTATCTAAGACAAGGGCTAGATAAAGGACTGACTAGGAAATATTTTAGATTGTGCAAGTCAAGAGGCAAAACTGAAGATATTATATAGGTACTTAAAGCCATTTAAAATGAATGATTTAAAAAAGTAAAAATCATTGTTAGTTTGTGTGCTCGTCTAAGACATAAACACTACACAAGTCTGAGGGGAGGGGAAGTCTTATAAGCTGAAATATCAAAACAATAATTTCTTAATTTTCCCTTAAACCATTTACCTACCATCATCACTGACTAAAATCCTCTACACCATATATTTCTGCTGGGTTTTTTCTGGATATTGAGAAGTAGGGTGCACAGATAGGACAATGAGGAAGGAAGGAAAAATTAGAATTAGAGTCTGGCTAAAAACAGGGCTGCTCACTGTTTTCATTCCACCAAATTCTTCACTCTAAGAGGTTAAATTCTGGTTTACTAATAAAAACATATTATGAATAGAAAGATAGAGGCAATAGATTGCAAACTATGGCAATGGTACTATATCAGATCTAAATAAACTAATTTGGACCTCAAAGTTCAAATGTGAGAATAAAGCCAAACCGTCAGACAGCTCTGAAAGGTAGCCAGGTTCTTCAGGTCCTTCTCTGAGAGGAAGAAAATGTTTAACCTATTAAGCTAGGTTATAATGTATGATATCCAGTAATATCATGTATAAAATTGGCTCAGAATTCATATTCCAAAAGGACTCAGGCAAAAGGTTTCTGTGGCAATTATAACAATTAAAATTAAATGTGCCAGTAAGCTACAAACTGAATGAGTAGAAAGGTGAGGAAGGGTTTTAACTTCTAACAGCTATAGGCAGTCGGCACATTTTAAATGAGTGTTCTCAAAACTTCAGTATGCCTAAGAATCATTTCCAAATAGGTAAATGCTGCAAGTTCCTGGAATCCTTCAGACATTCTGATTAAGAAGTCTGGGGTTGGGACCCTGAATTAAAGGGTGAGCCAGGTGATTTATATGTAAGTGGCCCAAGGACCACTTTGAGAAGCACTGATTTACCTGTTTGGTCATGCAAAATCAGTAATAAATTAATTTCCCTAATCCTTATTCTTTGGATTTCACCTGACTCTTCAGCTATCCAACATACTAGCAAGGAAAATACTTATTTTCCAAGCAGAAAACTCCAGTAGCATATCTGGTTATTATAGGTTTCTTTTACTAGGGCCAAAAGAAGTCATTAATGGCCTATGGAATAAAGCTGACTGAATTAAGTAATCTGTGTAGAAACCAAATCCTTATGTGGTTGTGACTTAAGTCCGCTCCTCCCTAGTTTCCTCATTCAAGGGCCTTGTACTTGCCCCATGCTCCTCTCAGCCTCACCTTGTCCTCTGCTACCAACCGCCTCCCCCCGCCCCCAGCCCTGGCCCAACTGTATTTACAAGCATCCAGCCCTGATGTGAAGTTCCTAGTATTTAAGTGAAAGGCCCTTAGCAGCAAACACCTGCGGAACCAGAAAGCCTGTGTACCCTCACAAGGAACTGGGAGGGAGGGAGGATGAGATTCAAGTATCTCAAAAAAAGATCTCCAGTTCTCTTCTGGACTATAATCTCTATTCAAAGGCAATGCACCGCACAATGAACAGTCCCCTGCATGCACGTCTTTTCCCCACTGCCGCTGATCAGCTACTAGCCTTTCCCATATAAATAAATACTTCTGCCTCTAGTGTCAGAATTTCCAGGAAAACTGAAAGAGCAATAGACATAATCCAAGGCATACATTCAAATGGGATAGAAGCTGGGTTTAATGGATGTCTACTGCTTCCTCCTTTCTCCTTTTAATCCAGGAAAAGATAAAAGGCCAGAGATCATGGCATTTGCTTCCTTTCAAAAGAGAAGTCAAGGGACGCCTGGGTGGCTCAGTTGGTTAAGCAGCTGCCTTCGGCTCAGGTCATGATCCCAGCGTCCTGGGATCGAGTCCCACATCGGGCTCCTTGCTCATCGGGGAGCCTGCTTCTCCCTCTGCCTCTGCCTGCCATTCTGTCTGCCTGTGCTTGCTCTCTCTCTTTCTCTCTCTCTGACAAATAAATAAATAAAATCTTAAAAAAAAAAATAGTATGTCATTTTATAAGTGATGAACCTGAGCCTTAGAGAAATAAATAGGTCACAGCCTATAAAAAATATAGTAGCTATGGGACGCCTGGGTGGCTCAGTTGGTTAAGCAGCTGCCTTCGGCTCAGGTCATGATCCCAGCGTCCTGGGATCGAGTCCCACATCGGGCTCCTTGCTCATCGGGGAGCCTGCTTCTCCCTCTGCCTCTGCCTGCCATTCTGTCTGCCTGTGCTTGCTCTCTCTCCCTCTCTCTCTCTGACAAATAAATAAATAAAATCTTTAAAAAAAAAAAGAGAAGTCAAGGTACTTTAAGGAGGTAATACATGGGACAAATACAAAAACAAAACAAAACAAAAAACCCAAACACCCAAACCCATTACATTATTACTATATTAGTATCACTTAAGGACACATAAACACAACATAAGGATACCAATAAACCAAACTATTACAAATAAAAATTGTAAGATGAAAAAGGGAAGTCTCAAATAACTGCCTACTTGTTCCAGGTAATACTAGACAAAACAAATCCCAATATGACTTTAAGCTGTTGCAGTTGGGACAATGGTATTGATCTTCAAACTGCCTTTCAGAACACATTCCCAGGGTGCCTGGGTGGCTCAGATGGTTAAGTGTCTGCCTTCGGCTCAGGTCATGATCCCAGGGTCCTGGGATTGAATTCCACATCGGGCTCCCTGCTCTGCGGGGAGCCTGCTTCTCCCTCTCCCTCTACTGCTCCCCCTGCTTGTGCTCTTTTGCTCTCTCTCTCTCAAATAAATACATAAAATCTTAAAAAAAAAAAAAAAAAAGAACACATTTCCAAAAGACAAGGGCCAGTATTAGAGTGATAGTAATTACCATGTGCTACACACTGTGCTAGGTGCTTACACACATAGTGGCCTCCTGACACTTACCACTAAGTTTATGTTTGAAAAGAAATAAGTGGTACTTGCATAAAAGCGGGCATGGGATACATCTGAAGGCACTGCCACGTTGTAAGGCCCCATGGCTCTATACAAGCATCTGCTGTGTCGCACCAGCACCCCTTGAGGCCATATTGTATTTTCTGACCAACTAAGGGAGAAAGAAATGCAATGTTAGCATGTTGGCAATTACAAATAAGACAGCGTCTGGCAAGGCCCACTACATTTCTAAGAAGGAATTAAGTATGCAAGGCTTCATCTGTCTGAATTCTGAGGATACACTGCACAAACTGGAAAGAGTTAGGAAGGCTTTGTTATCATAACTTCATTGCTATACAGTAGAGAGGCTGCAAAGTGATACGATTAACTCAGTGTCAAAGGACTTATGGGGCTCAGGAGAAGAGCAGAAATTAATGTGTAAGGCAACAATGAGCCAGAAAACCGAGTGTAATCAGGGACTGTCATCTCAACCCCAAGTGAGCAAAATCTATTGATGGAAATGCTAGAGAATAAACAAGAACAGAAAGTGGACTGTAGTGAAAGTAGTGCAGAAATGAACATATTGTCAAATCAGCAGGATATTTACTGCAGAATTAATCCCAAAAAGCTACAGAAAATCAGTCTATTTGTCACATATTTCAATGCCTCCTATATGCGTGAAGCTATACAGAAGAGAGACACACAAGGTACTGACACACAGATTTTACTTTTTACCGCTTTCCTGGTTTATTTTTATAGAAGTTTCTCTAGGAAAAAGAAGTTACGGAAGAAGCTTCATTGTTTCCAGCACCAATGTAATGGAGTTGGGGCAGGGATGGGGATCTTCAGGTTAAGTTTTTAAAAAAATCTAAGTTAATTCATCTCTTCCTGATTTTGGAAAGGTTAGTTTCCTAGGGTAAGAACTGGGACAACATTTTAGATATGTTAAACAAACAAAAAAACAAAAACAAAAAAAAAGAAAAAAAGTCTAGCACCCTGAAGTTTTCCCAGTTCAGAAAATGTTCCGTCGGCCTTGCTCACACTTACCAGCATTAAAGTGATGATACACCTCATGGCCATGTGCCATCAGGAGCCTGAAGATGTACAGTACTAGTACTGTGGATTGTATTTTCAATTTTTATTGAAATTTGTCCTTTGCCCACAGTCGGGTTTCTTTTCAGCCTGGCCCAATCTCTCTCAGTTCCTGGGCTTGAAGGCCTGTGCTAATCTGTATCAGACATCAAGGCAGATAATTGAAGGGAGGACTCTGAGGGGGGAGAGGGGAAAAGAAAGTCCCCTCAATCTGTCCCACTTCATTAGGAAAGAATTTCTAGGTGATGAAATTTGTGAAATGTTCCAATTATAAAAGGGAGGAAGATGAAGATGGTCCAGGTCTGAAAGGAAGGTATGGTGAAGGGAAAGAGTGAGAGGAACAAAAAGGTTCTAAAGTTAACCATATTGGATCATAGGGACCATGCAGAGAAATGACTGAGAGGGGACACGATGAGAGGAACACTCAGAGTGAACTCAATTAGGGACAGTTTTCATTTAAATATGGGAAAAGCAGGGAAACATTCATTAGCATGTTTAAGAAAAAAAGATAATAAAAAATGCAAGCAAGGAAAATTATTAGAACAAATTTGCATTTATTAGAAAGAAGAGATGAGAGAAGCAAATTCTAGCTGCCTGAGTGTCAGAGGATTAGCTAGCAACTATTTAGCTGTGGCAATTAGGAGAAGATGAATCTTACAGTCTTCCAAAGAGAAATTAAAAATATATCATGACTCTGTGAATTTGGGCAAAGGGTTAAAACTGAAAGAAAACTCCATTATTACAGCTTGGGAAACAAATTCACACTCCAGGGTGACCGGGCAGCTGAAAGGTAGGAGGCATTTAAGGAGGGACTGGGGATGGTGGTGGGAATGGGTTAATGTCCTCTGTGTTCAGTTTAGAGTGATGACAAGCTTCCATGTAGACAAAAAACTAAAAATCAAATGTTCAAAGCCAAGAACAAGAATGACATACAAAGCAAATAAACATGATCAGCAGCATGTAGAAGGTGTTATATGGTTTTACCCTCGAGACTACTCACATGTGCTGTGGAGCATTGCTGTAGGACCCATGTTCAAGCTTCTGCCACTTGCCCAGGTGAGCGGCTGATTTATGTAGCAAATCACAGTATTTAGATGGCAGCAGCTGTGTGGTGAGCATGACAAAAGCATTGATCCACACCATAATGAGGTGCTCACATGACCAGCGCATGTCATAGTACTGGGTACTCTGGAAGAGATCAGAAGAGGGAGAAATGATTCGTGCACTGTTCAGCAAGAAGGTAGGGATGGCTGCGTGTACATACGCCCTGCAGACAAATGCCACACTGAGTCACACATGCACTGGTTGTCCTGCTGTCCGTGCAGAAAGTTCAAGAGCAGAGTCCTCCAAAATCCTTCAACCTGACTTTCTGGCTGGACAAATTAGGGATGGGAGGGAGAGGCAATTATATTTTAAGTGCTTCCTTTCTAGAAGAGGTGAGTGCCCTCTGTAAATGACCACTCCGGCTGCAGATGTGCTTCTCAATGGGTGAAGAAAGGGCACTAAAATGTCCCAAAAGATTTTGGGCCCAAGTGACATCCAGACCATTTTTCTTTTCCACTGAAGTAAATTGAAATTTAGATAAAGATTAGATTAAATCCAAGGAAACTCCTGATTAACCATGTTAAGATCAACTAGAGTAGGCTGAATTGTATTAAAACCTCAATCCTCTTAAGCTACTACATACTGATTCTAGTATAAACACAAACTTTATTTTCCCCAGAAACTGGAAAAAAAAAAAAAACTTTAAAAAAGAAAGAAAAAAAAAGAGGGGACCACCACGGGTGCATCACATATATGGAAATACCTATCCGCCAACCAGGAGCGGTATTAGTGCACTCCAGATGCAGCCGAACTCCACCATCCAGGCTGCCAAAGGGGAGACAGAGAAAAGGGGGATTAAATAAGAAATACCCAGTTTATATCATTCACACACAAATCGAGGAAGCACATAAAAGGAACCACTTACCTTCACAAAACACAGGGGGAGAAATGCAACATAGTAGGCACTGAAGAGGGAGTTGAAGAGAACTTCCTTGATTCTGTGGTTGAAATCTGCTTTCAGACATTCCACTTCATTGCGAATGAGGTCTGGAGAGAGGGGGCAGCTGTGCGTGGGGATGGGCGTGGCATTATTAAACTGTTCTTTCAGAGACTCCAGCAATAAGGAGAGGAAGTCTTTGGATTTGGCCAAGCCACCCACAGTTGAGGCACTTTCTTCTACTGCCTGATGCTGAACCATGTAGTTATAGTCTGTGAGAAGAAGATGAGCTCTACTATCTTGGTGGAAACAGCAGAGAGGAACATAAACACCAAATCTGTAGAAGACGGTAAATATGAAAATGAGACCACAGATGCCACCTATGATCAAATCTAGATCTAACATAACTATGTTAGTAAAACAGTCATGATTCACAAGGATGAACGTAACAGAACAGGGACTCTGTTGACAGTGAATTCATCATCAGGGAAGTTCTTGAATTTCTTCCCACGAAGGCAATATACATTCACTGTAGAATAATAGAAGACTACAGAATCACAATGACAAAACAGAAAACACCAAAAAATGAAGGCTTTTATAATTTTTACAGCTGGGTGCACAGACTTCCTACTTCTTTCTATGTTTAGTCTCATACAGGATAAACCGTTTTGTAACTTTGAGTGTGTTTATATACGGGTATCTATTTTGAGCATTTTTTTCACATCATTACATATTTTTTTCTGTAACTATTTTTAAAGATACTATAATTCTCATACAGATGCACTCTAATTTACCCACTTCTCTCTTGTTGCAAACTTAGGTGGTTTCCTACTTTGCATTACCATAAATATGAATGTATGGATAAAATCCTCTATGATCTTTGTGTCCATCTGGTAATTTTCAAATGGTATGCCCTTCACTTCCAATTTCCCCTTCTTAGTGAGGGACTCCCCCTGCCTCCTCACTACATTACCCACCCCAATCCTACAGGCACTCCTAAGTTCCCCCTGCCTGGTTATTTTTCTTCAGAGATCTTACCCCTCCATATGTTTTACATATTTTTCAGGTTTTTTATTTGGGTGGTTTTTTTGCTTGTTTGTTTGTTTGGCCTATCTTCCCCTTACTACAATCTAAGTTCTGTGTACCAGAGATTTGGGTCTGCTTAATTCACTGCAATATCCTCGATGTCTAGAATTGTGGCTGAAACATGCTATGCACTCAAAAAATATCTGATGGATTAATGAAAAAAAATTCTAGATGTATAATAAATAAATTTCTACAGGTAGACTAAGTTGGTCAAAGGACTTAATATTTTTGAGACTTTTCATAACTTCTTATAGTTATTTCAACCTTGGTTCCTTAAAACTTTTTAAAATACTTTCCCCAGTCCTCATTAAGTAATGTCCACATTGTGACTTATGTATTATAAATAAAATGGTCTTTTCACTGGCATAAATTCAGATATGAAAAACAGCAAATAAAAGATTCCCTATATAGTTATATATTTTATAAAAATATTAACAAATTCACCTATTCATAGTTTTCTATGGAGGGAGAAAACAAGCTTGTTATGACGTAAGGGAGGATGGTTAGCAGCTCCGCAATCTACCGTGACTGTGCTGGAGTAGTAGTGTGGGAAGGAGTAAATGAAGAAGCAACAGGCAGAACTCACACATGTGCAAAACCGTGAAGGCAAGAGAAACCTGTCAATATTGCTGAAACACAAGCTGCACATGTAGAGGTGACACGAGAGGCTAGGGTGTGTGGCAGTTGCAACAATGGCCCCATTTCTTAACCCTTCCTGTAGTCTTACTGCACAGCCCTCATTCTGTGTGTGAAGTGACCCTGCCCTAGCCCTACGATGGCTCAACAATGCAACCTGTTCTGGCCCACGGAATGTCAGCAAACATGATGTGATCAGAAGCCTGAAATGGGCTTACACTCTGGGGCTTGATTTCATGCCATTCGATCAATTTCAAGTGTGAGTGAACCCAGCTAAGACCAGGAGAGCTGCCTGACTTCCAGCTGACTCCAACATATGCACAATAAAAAAATATTGTGGAATGCTACCACGGGTTTGTAGCTGTTTGTTACAGCATTATATAGCAATGGATAACTGATACAGTGTAGAATGAGAGAAACTAGAAGGGTAGCATCAAAGGCTTGGACTTTGGAGGCTCTGTAAGGTAAAGGGGGATAAAGGAAATGATTCATTAAAGAATTTTAAAATTTTTTTTTAAATTTTATTTATTTATTTTTCAGAGAGAGAAAGAGACAGCACAGGCAGGCAGAGTGGTAGCAGAGGCAGAGGGAGAAGCAGGCTCCCTGCCGAGCAAGGAGGCTGATGTGGGACTCCATCCCAGGACGCTGGGATCATGACCTGAGCCAAAGGCAACCGCTTAACCAACTGAGCCACCCAGGTGTCCCATCATTAAAGAATTTTAAAGAGGGTTAGTGACATAATTCAACTTCCATTCTGAAAAGCATTACAGCTATAATAAAAAATGGAAAGGAAGAAGGCAAGAATGGATTACCAGAAGACCAGATGGAAGTTTAGAATGTAACAGCAGAGGTTACAGAAAGCAGTGTATAGATTCAAGATAATATAAGAGCTACAACATTAGTCATTGGACTAAACTACCCTAAAGTGAGAAGCTAGCTGAGAATCAAGTTTAAAAAAAAAAACAAAACAACAACAACAACAACAACAACAAAACCAAAAAACAAAAAACCAAAGCAGTAAAGAGTTACTTTTTTAACCTATGAATAAATAAGAAAATAAAGATGTAGTTACTGCCATTGTCTAGTAAAACTTCTTACACTTATTTTTTAAATTTAAGTTAGATAAAAGATTACACAACTTTAAAAAGTGAAGGCAAATAAATTTAAACATAAAATCTGTTTAAATTACATGCTTATTTCATTGTTTTACAGGGGTGTGGAGAGCCTTAAAAAATAAGTAAGTTTCTTTATATTCCTCAACTGAAATGAAAAAGTTGGCTCATCATTTTGACACGGTAATCCTTTTAAACCTGGCCAAAATATTCCTTGATATATCCATATTTAGCCTTTCAAATCAAATATAGTTAAACCTGATTCAACCAGCTGTTGTTCAGAAACAGAACAATGAAATCATCTGAAGTTGAAGAAACTGAAATATCTAGAAATACAGAAATAACTGATGTAAAATATATACCTTATAATAAATATGAATCATGGAAAATGATGTTTATAATATAGAGTTCATTTTGTAGGGAAAAGGGTAATACTAATGAACTGAATTGATGATTGCCTTAAATAATTAAACAATATAATTGGAAAAATAAATAAGTAAACAGTATAATTAGACCACCCATGGGACAACCAACAGAAAGACTATTCCTGCCATCCCTGCCCATTACGCCTTGACTTTAGGCCACGTAACTACTTAAAACCCATGCTTACACAAAGCAATGATTCTCAAACTTGAGCAAGCATCAAAATCATGTGGAAGGCCTGTTAAAAGACAAATTGCTAGGTCCTACTTCTGGAGTTTCTGTTTCAGTAGATTTGGGGTGGATTCTGAGAATCTCTATTTCCAAAAAGATTTCAGGTGATGCTGATGTTGCGCTTCTGGGAACCACACTTTGAGAACTACTGATTATAGAGGAATGGTGAAACAAGAACTCCGGAATCACAAAGACCCAAGTCTTTCTAATTGTCTGACCACAGGAAAGATTTTTATTCTCTTAATCTCTCTTTACCTGCGGCGAAGCCTGCTAATTGTCTGCCAAGAGCCACTGTTCTCCTGCTCTTCCGCTGCAACAGAATTTTTAGTTGAGGTACAGCTGTTCTGCTAAAGACAAATTTCTACCCTCCTTTATACTCTATACTGCTAGGGAGGAGTGGACCAAAAAAGACAGCAGGAGCCTGGGTCCCAAGACCATGGAAGCTAGCTGCCACAGCTCCCCAAGATGATTTACATACATACTTTACAGAAGAAAGAAATAAACTTCTAACTTTTTAAAGCCACTAGTACTTTGGAACTGTTAGGTCAGACTAAATACACAGCCTCCTGGGTTATGGGGATGATTTCATGAGGTGATGTTTATAAACACTTAGCCCAGTACCCAGCATATAACAGCAATAAATGGTAGCTACCTACTAACATCCAATGAAGAAAGTATTAGCCCAAAGTATACAAGTTAAACTGTGCGAAGAGTTTAAAAGCCCATGTGTATAATAAGATACAACTATACACTGCCGATGTACGCAGTGCTTGGGCACTTCATTTGATGAAGAGAGCCAATTAAAATATTCACCATTGGTAGAATAACCATACTTCTCCAGTTTTCTTGGGACAGTCCTGGTTTATCCCTGTTGTCCCAACTGTAGCCTAGTGTAGAAAATAAATTATAAGTCACCCTACCCACTGATTTTTTCCAATTTTCTGAGCTTTTTTTTTTTTTTGGCTTTTATTTGAAGAATTTCATCTTCCTCACTTTTGTAGTATTGTTCGCTTGACCCAAATAATTTCTTTAAAAACTTACAGATAAAATGGTAAAACTGGAGTACTCACGGGTAGCCAAGGAAAAGGAGATTGAGGACTGAATGGCTCCGGAAGAGATTGACGAGGGTCCAACAAAGTACCCATCCACATAAAGTGAGTAGCACCAAGCGAGCTGATATCAGAACCATGTAGTGAATCATAGATGCTGCACCCGCCTTAGTGGCCTGAAAGTTTGGAAGCACCAAAAGGAACATTTTATAAATGGCCTTATACAAAAGCAATGCAATTCAAGGAATTAGATTTAGTGGTAATCTGCCCCCCTCAAAAAAAAGGGAAGGGGGGAGGAAAGAAGAAAAAAAACTGCCCCATCCCACTTATCTTGCTTATTTTTATTTTTTTTTTAAAGATTTTTTTTTTATTTATTTATTTGACAGAGGGAGATCACAAGCAGGCAGAGAGGCAGGCAGAGAGAGAGAGGGAAGCAGAGAGCCCGATGTGGGGCTTGATCCCAGGACCCTGAGATCATGACCTGAGCCGAAGGCAGCAGCTTAACCCGCTGAGCCACCCAGGCGCCCCATATCTTGCTTATTTTTAAAGATTCAGACTCTTCCAGGCAGTTTGTTGGTTCTTCCTTGTATTCCCAGTGTCTCATAGAGACCTCCCTTAAGTTCTTATGACATTGTCTAATTTATTTACACTGGGGCTTCAAAGTATGACCCATGAACCACATTCATCAAAATTACTTGGGTTGCTTACTGAACCTGAAAATGCCTACTGCCTTTCCTTACGAGATACAGGGAACAAAACTGTAAGTCATGGAACCTATATTTTAATAATCCACCAGGTAATTTTTTTGTAAAGGCCTTGAACCATTAATTTATCTGACTTTGGACTGAACTGTAATAACCTCAATAGTAGCAACAATGTCCCATTTTCCTTGGAATCCTCCCCCCAAACTATTTGCTGAATTAATATTTAATGAATTACTGAGCCTTCAAAAAATAATCAGATCTTCTCTGAAAAATCCCTATATAAATAAAAGCTTCTCTTTTGACTTTTGCAAACACGGAAATAATGGACAATCACTTCCACTACTTTGTATGACAGCTATTCAAATATTTTTCCTTAATCCCACATTTTAAAGACAGATTAAATATAGTAAGAAAGCATACTTGTCTAAACATGAAGCTCTGCAATGTTATTTTCTTTCAGAATGAACTAGGAAGAGAATGAGCAAAACACAGGGGAAAATGGCAGATTCCTACAACCTCAAAACAGCAGTGTCAGAATGTAGAAAGGGGAAAAAATTATGTAGGGTCCATAGCAATGGGAGGGGATAAGGAGTTTTCAGGTCCTTCATCTACTCATTTCTTAATTTACTCAATATACTACATAGCATATATAATATATATGCACTTATGTAGTTATTTATAAATGCAAAGAAGCAGTTGAATTAACACCATAGAGAAGGTTCAAACTGTTCTCAGTAACAGTATGGCAAATAATTGTTTATCATTCCCCTGATACATACCTCATGCCAACGTACCTTACCTGTCAAAGCCTAAGGAAGGCATTTAAGTGGCTGGAATTACTCTATTGCCTCCATTTCCTTTCCTTTTTTTTTTTTTTTTTTTTAGAGATTTTATTTATTTATTTGACAGACTGCGCACAGTAGGAGGAGTGGTGGAGCAAGAGGGAGAAGCAGGCAGGCTCTCCATTGAGCAGGGAGCCTGACGCAGGGCTCAGTCCCAGGCCCCCAGGATCACGACCTGAGCTGAAGGCAGACGCTTAACCGACGGAGCCACCCAGGTGTCCTCACGGCCTCCATTTTCAAAATAAAAAGGCTGTTCTGCCTAGTGTCACCACAGCAACAGAGCCTGGATGTATCTGTCATTTTTGTCTTGTTTCAGAGCCCAAGCTCTTAACCATTATGCTTTGTATGGCAGATACTATACCAGGTCCTAGGGACATAGTAGTAACTAAGAACTCTGTCTTTATGAGGCTGCCCAAATAAGAAAACAAATATTAAACTTATATTTACACAAATAATTATTTTTACAATTGTGGTAAGTGCTACAGGAAAAAAGCAGGCTGTAAGGGAAAGCGAGTAACAAAAGACCCCAATCTAGGGAAGCCTTTCTGAGGAAGTGGTATTTTAGCTGGGATTAAAGAATAAGAAAAAAATGAGCCAGGTAAGGAGTAGAAAAATAATCCTAATAGTAATGTTAAAGTATGGTTTATATGCAAATAAAAATTTATATACCAAATATACCAAAATATGGCCCTTTCAATAATGAGGTTGTAATTTAAAATTTTTCCTGCTTTATATTTTAGGGTTTTCCATTTTTTTTTTTTTTTTAATAAAATGTACTACCTTCCTATTTAGAAAAAGTTTTTTAAAAAGGGAGTTGCAAGGATGCCTGAGTGGCGCAGTCTGTTGAGCATCTTGCCTTTGGCTCAGGTCATGGTCCCAGGGTCCTGCAACTGAGCCCTGCATCTGGCTCCCTGTGATGCTTCTCCCTTTCCTCCCCACTTGTGTGCTCTCTCTCTCAAATAAATAAATAAAATCTTTAAAAATAAAATAAAATAAAATGGGAGTTGCCTCAGGTTGGGAGAATAGCTGAGTAACTTTCTGGTCTTGTGGAGCAAGTCAAGAACTAGAAATGGCCTGGTGGTGAATAAATAGTCTTATATAGTTGGAGGTATTCCTCCCGGAATAGTATTCAGCATTTTTATTAATTACCTCCAGCTTCTCCTTAAAAATGATTGGTCTTTCTCAGGGTAGGGATCCTTTCTGTGATATATAAGCCCCCCCAAAAAAACCCAAAAGACAAACATTTTAATGGAAGGAAGGATAGATGATTTGTGATGGGTCTTACCATCTAATTTAGCTTTTTTTAGAAAAGAATCACTATACAGCTCCTATTTTTAATTTCTGAATAGGTAATATAGTCACAAATGCTCAAAATAAAAAATGTATAATAGGGTTTGTACTGAATTTCCCGCCTTCTGGTCCTGTTCCCAGCCACAACTAGGCAGCCTGCTATTAGTCTGTATGTCCTTCTAGAGATAATTCATTCATACATAAGCAAATGTATTTTATGCCTTCTACCCACCTTATTTTAAACATTGTTTTATATATACATATATATATATACGCATATTTTTTTTTACTTAATATTTTAGTGGTCAGTACAGTTTCATCTTTTTAATGGCTTCATGCTGTTCCATTATATAGATACCCCATAATTATTTAAACATTCTTTCTCATGGACTTTAAGGTACAGAGACTTCAGTCACTGACCAGAAGTCTGTTTAAATTTAGCTTAAGTATTTTGTTCTCAGTAAGAATTACAGGTTTCTTTTTCTTTTCTTTTTTTTAAAGATTTTTTTTTTTTATTCATTTGAAAGAGAGAATGAGAGAGAGAGCTCAGCAGGAGAGGCATACTCCCTGCCAAGCAGGGAGTCTGATGTGGGACTCGATCCCAGGGCTCCAGGATCATGACCTGAGCCAAAGGAAGACGTTTAACCAACCGAGCCACCCAGGCGCCCAAGAATTACAGGTTTCTTTAGAAAACAGCTAATATACTCTCCAACTAAGGTCATGCAAAAACTGTTAAACTACTATTAAGCCATTAGCAAAAGAAAGCAACAGAGTACATAAAGTTATAACCCTTGGATCACCAAGGTAGAAACCCCAGTTATAAAGGATTTAAACATTAGCTGGACATACTAATTTGGCATATACAAGTACCATTTCTAAGTAATTGAAAGATTAAAAAAATGCTGCCTGTTTTCACATACAAAAACATAAAACTCCACTGAGTTCCTCTAAAAAAAGAATGTAATGTTAATATATCCAAAGTAAGCACCTATTTTCATGATCTAAATAGCAAACTTGGGAGAAAAGTTTTGTTTTTTGGTTTTTTTTTAAGATTTTATTTATTTGTCGAGAGAGAGCACAACCAGGGGGAACAGGAGGCAGAGGGAGAAGCACATTCCACACTGAGCAAGGAGCCCTTTGCGGGACTTCATCCGAGGACCCTGGGATCATGACCTTTACAGAAGGCAGACGCTTAATCGACTAAGCCACTCAGGTGTCTCTGGGAAGAAAACATTTTAGATAGCCTTTTTCTTTGTGAAAAACAGGTGATTCAACTACCAGTGTTCTTCAGTTAACTTCAAATGGCTCTCAGATTATGACTTAATACATGCAATTACTCTGTGCTGCAAGAAATAAGGTTCCTAAAAATTAGGGCTTACAGACACAAATACTTTCATGCATGTTTTAGAAGGAAAAAAAGTTGGCTCTCAGTTATCTGTGATTATAGTAACTATTAATTTAAAATTATACACTGAATTATAAACTCCAAGATTAAAATTGTTAGACACTCTAGCTAAGTTAATATTTTTTTGTTTTTATAATAATTTATAGGACATAAGATAATAAAATCCTAATAGAACACATTTACCTTCTCCAATGGAGTTTACAAATATATTAAAGAATCTTACCAATGGCCAGTTCTATCAACATTTAATTTTAAAAAGATTGTATTAATGTCTTTCCTCTACTGCCCACTGATTCTAATCTTCAAGATTAGTCTTATGCAAATTTGATTTCATTTTAAAACTCCCAAGTTTTAATAAACTCAAACAAATGTCTCTTTCTAGAAACCCCACAAATGGTATATAATATCAAGTAAATATTACCTGAAACAAAGTTTTAGATGCAACTGTTCACTTATATATAATTCTTCATATCAATAGTTACTTAAAATTCCTTCTCTTTTTACTGTATGTAATAAAATTAGAAAAATTATACAGAAGAACATGGAATCTAGAAATAAGCTCCTACCAAACGAGATTTCTAACAGTTTTCTTGAATTCTAGCACAATGAATTTTAAATATACTGTTGGAAAATCTTTTAAAAAGAACTAGCACATGGAGGCGCCTGGGTGGCTCAGTGGGTTAGGCTGCTGCCTTTGGCTCAGGTCGTGATCTCAGAGTCCTGGGATCGAGCCCTGCATCGGGCTCTCTGCTCTCTAGGGGAGCCTGCTTCCTCCTCTCTCTCTTCCTGCTTCCTCCTCTCTCTCTGCCTGCTTGTGATCTCTCTGTCAAATAAATAAATAAAATCTTTAAAAAAAAAAAAAAAAAAAAAAAAGAACTAGCACATGGGGCCACTGGGTGGCTCAGTTGGTTAAGCATCTGACTTTGGCTCGGTCATGATTTCAGCGTACTGGGACTGCTGGAGTACTGGGATTGCTCAGTGGGAAGTCTGCTTGTCTCTCTCCCTTGGCCCCTCTCCCCAAATCGTGCTCTAATAAATAAATACAATCTTAAAAAAAAAAAAAAAAGGAAGAACTAGCATAGCTCATGTGGAAGTAAAGAAATTAATTTGTAATTATTTTCAAATTATATTTGGGCACTTGACATACTCAGCTTGAATCCAGTCTAGTAACTAACTCTAGCTACAAGTGATAAATTATAGTGAATAAGCTGTTACCTCTGAGATGAGGGCCCACACCAGCCTCCTTGCAAGCATCACTGTGATGAATGCTGCCAGGTGGTAATCAATGAGATGAAAATTCTGTAAAAGAAACAAATCACTGCATCAGAAAGAAATACGGATATCTAGCTGGAACTACTACATCAAAAGGTCTGCCCCTCAGAAGAGCTCCTTACGTCACCTTGTATGTATAGACAGACCACAAGAATCTGAGAGATCTTAGAGAGACGACCTACCTTCTACTTTCTACCTAATTTTACTTCTCCTTTCACGAAAGATTGCTTTAATTTTTCAAATACTATTTTAAATTATCTGGAATGTACTCCCCTCTTTTTTGAAAGTTTACAGTGTTGAAAGGAAGACTACAGCTTTGGGTTAAAGAGTGATAGCCTGCAGAATTATGGCAAGAATAATTGAAGGGTTGGGGCGCCTGGGTGGCTCAGTGGGTTAAGCCTCTGCCTTCGGCCCAGATCATGATCTCGGGGTCCTGGGATCGAGCCCCGCATCGGGCTCTCTGCTCTGAGGGAAGCCTGCCACCCCCTCTCTCTCTGCCTGACTCTCTGCCCACTTGTGATCTCTCTCTCTGTCAAATAAATAAATAAAATATTTAAAAAAAAAAAAGAAGAAGAAGAAGAATTTAAGGGGTCCCTGGGTGGCTCAGTCAGTTAAGTGGCTGCCTTCGGCTCAGATCATTGATCCTTGGGTACTGGGATCGAGCCCTGGGTCAGGCTCCCCGCTCATCAGGGAGCCTGCTTCTCCCTCTCTCCACCCCCTGCTTGGGCTCTCTCTTAAATAAATAAAAATCTTTAAAAAGAAAAGGTAATTTATTTAAAATGCCATTTTTATAATGAGTGTCAAATTCAATGGATCAGATGGGACTCCCAGCATTCAGGAGTTCCTATTTTTGGTATCTCTATGCAAGCTTATGTTAATCTAACTGGGTATCTACTAACCTAAACTCCCTATGGGCTGACATGTCAATTACCTTCAATTTAGTCTTTCTTCTTAACTTGATTTAAAAAAATGTCTTGGGTGTCTGGGTGGCTCAGTTGGCTCAGTAGGGTCCTGGGATCAGGCTCCCTGCTCAGGGCGAGTTTGCTTCTCCCTCAGCCCCTCCCCACAGCTTTTGTGCTTGTGCTCTCTCACAAAAATAAATAAATATAATCTTAAAAAAAAAAAACACAACAAAAACATGTCTTTTATTTGATCTTTTCTTCCTAAGAAATGATAGCTTTACCTAGATGCTGCATATGGTTCCTTCTAGTTCTATCAGCGTCTATCGGTAATCAGAACTCTAGCTCTAAGCCTATATAAATAATAAGCACAATAATAAGCACATTAGCAACAAACAAAATGGGGATGTATTTTCATTTTGCTGGTCAAAAGGTCTTTAGGTTTCCAGAGTCCTCCTTCCAGACTCAAAAGCTGAACTTCTCAATTCATTCAGTAAGTAAGTAGGGGACACTCACAATGTGTGCAAAGTACTCTTCTTGATACTGAGGATACAGTGCTAAAGAATGACACACAAGCTTCCTGCTCTCCTGGATCTTATTTTTTACTGTGGTATGAAAGGGAAAGGGGATGGCAAGGATTTCTATTTCTCTTCTGCCATCATAGTAGAATTTAACTGGACACTGACTCCTTGCTAACTAGAGCTTCATTTCCTTGCCTCCCTTGCAAAACTACAGCTAAGGGATGTGAGGGGAAATGATATATACAACTTCCAAGTCATGCCCTTAAAGGAAGGAACTGTCTTTCTCCTTTCCTCCTTCCTGCTGGCCAGATGTGCTGACAGGAGTTGGTGCAGCTATCTCGGACCAAGGTTTGGAAGAAGCATGTTGGGAGTGGCAGAGCAATGGAAACAAAGAGTTGCCACACTGGCATATCACATGACTGGTTTTTATCTAATCAGGAAATAAGGTTCTACTCTGTTTTAGCCGTCCTGTTACAACAACTAAAGCCATATCTTTAATAAATTTAAGTGTAAAGTCAACGACAAGCTGACAAGCAAAAGCATTTTACCTAGTAACAACTGCTGGCAGGAAATAGAGAGTGATCAACAGTAACTGGAAAGGGAGTTGCAGAGCCAATTTAAATTGTTGGTTATGGAGGACATCTCTAGATTGTGGCATTTGGGCTGACGGCTGACAAAGTAACGCCCATGACAAGATCTGAAGGCAGAGAGCCCCAGGCAGAGGGAAAAGGAATCACAAAGGCCCTAAGACAGGAAAACATATGCCTGGTGTCTGAAAATCAGTAAGAGGGCTGAAATGATGTAATGAATAACAAAAGATTAAGTTTATATTTTTTCCTAATGAGAAGTCATGGAAAGAGTATGCAAAGAGTGCCAGGTTCTATTTTAAAACAATCACAGTGATTGCTGTGTGGAGAATATACTGTAGCAGGGCAAGATCAGTTAGGAGGCTACTGCTTTTAATGCAAGGAAGAAATGAAGATGGACTGAACAGGGTCAGCAGCAAGGGCGATGGGAGTGGCCCGATCTGGGATACTTTTAAAGGTAGAGTAGCCAGAATATCAAGAGAATGGCTTACCTCAGATCACTTCCTTTTCTCTTTCTCTAAGTGTTTTGGATTCTAATAATATTTATCCCCTCTTAAGCTTTGAGACTTCTTGTTCACCTCACTCCTCCAAAATAATGCAAGCAAATTCACTAGACCCCCTACTTAATACCTAATGTTTGAGGGTCTTATTTATGTATCACCAGTCCATCTAAGACATTTTTTAATCAAAAGATTTAAGTGCCTAATGTATCTTATTGTTAAGTAAATTTTGTACTGTGCTCTATCACTGAAAACTGCTAATCTGCTTATGATTAACTCTATAAACCAGAATATTTGATTAATCACCCTCCAGTCCTGATATTCTGAATAATTTACTATACTACTTCTAGCTTTTATGTTTCTTAGGGTTAAGACTCATTCAGTTAACTGCTTGATGGCTACAATGATACTTTACATATTCGGGGTTCCACATTTTCTTTTTGGTAATTATTAAGATCTTGAAATGGAAAAAGAAAAGCTTAACATATAAATCTGATCAATTTCTGAGTCAGACATACATAATGAAGAAAATTTAGACCACTAGTTTAGATTTAAGTCCCTTCTAGAGCATCTCAGGTACATAGCCATCTCCCATGTTTGAATACGTTCAGTGACAGGAAGTAACCAGGTCTCTTGCGGCCCATTAATCTTTGAACAGCTTACTGATTCAGACCCCTTTCAGACTAAATGGGCTAAATGGGCTAAAATCTTATCATATTTGCTATTTCACAGATGTTACTCTTAGTTTCACAATTAAACGCTACGGTTTGTGTGAGCTAGGACCATATGTAGCAGATAAGTGAGCCAGTCCACAGGATAACCTGCTTCAAGTGTGCCTTCCGCTATTGCACAGACCAGAAAATGAAAAACTTCATCTCCAGACTTTCTTGCAACTCAAGTTCTAGATTTGACTTAGTTTCTGCCAACCTTGAGCATTACATAAATTCAGAACTGAGTGAAATGGGGAGAGGGGCAGGGTAAAAGGCCCCATGTTTGGTGGTATGAGTCAGAGGAAAGGAAGCATTAATTCTGGACTCAGCAGCTCTAGCAGCAGCTTCCTGATTATGACAGGAGCACTGGCTCCCTTGCAAGGCAACATTGGTAGGGGACTTTTAAAAGAACTCGTCAGAAATGGTTGACTGACAGAAGAGCTCTTTGATTAGCCTGAAAATTCAAAAACTGAGGTTTCCATGGAATGTCAAAGTGAAAACTAAATAATGAACTACCCAAAAGTACTTATGGATTAAACACAGAATAAGTAATAGGAAATACAGCATAGCAGGGAGTGACAGTACTCACTTTGTCACTATGTGATTTTGAACAAGTTTTGTGATCTCTAGGTCTCATATTTCTAATTTATAAAATGGGACAGTAGTACCAGTCTTCTGGTTGTTTTTTTTTTTTGTACCTACCTGTTTTTAAAAGAAGGAGTAAATGAGATAATACTTGCAAAAAATAGCGATTACTTTAATGAATGTTTTGCCAATGCCATTGTTAAGATAGTGAGAAATTTACATATAGAGCTACATGGCTGGAAGAAGCCTTAAAAATCATCTAATCCAGCCTCTTCATTTTACACCACCATGGCCAAAGAAGAATAGATAAAATACAGTTCCTATACTCATAAATTCTAATTTTATAATCATTGATAAGCCCCAAACACATATATAAACTATGCAGCACAACAGTCTTCTTTCTCCTAGAGCGTATTTCCATCCAAATCTGCCACTGCCAACCATCTACCTACAAAGTACCCGAGTAGTCTTACTCGTTATTTTACATACCCATCTATAGAGAACTTCTCTGCATCAAGACTATCTCAGCTCTCTTAAATAAACGGAAAGAGGGTAGAAGAAACCTACAATATATTTTGATGTATTTCAGCAAAGACATCTAGTCCTTGTCTCAATTTTATTTTTGTAACAGAGCCCAATCTTATTCATAGTAACAATAAATCCTATGATAGAATTAGAGTCTCCAGTCTCCCTGTAGTTAAGAGTGAACATGTGTGAGCCTGGCCCATAAGAAACTCTCCTTTATACTTCCCTATGCTCTTGCCCCTTTCTAGCTGAATGAGGTGGGCCACAGTCAACTTGGAGGCCACATACTGGAAGACAGCACAGTCTCCATCAGTCTGGGTTCCCTGATTGACCACATGGAAGCATGCTACTCCTGCAAACAAAAACAACTACCTCAGACTATTATGTGTTTGGTGCATCATACAATTCTGGGTTTATTTGTTATAGAAGCAAGCATTATCCTAAGATAGCCATTAAAAGGGTAAATTTCCTGGAATTTAGTCATATTAGCACCTTAAGTCCAACAAATTTAATATAGTGCAAAGAAAGCTAAACATCAAAACTCTTGATATTATGATAAATTATTTAAAGGTTTTCTGCATTTTCATTTATATTTTACCTTTCCAGATATTTATATTTTAATAATCTTATGAGATTACAGTTCTGAAAGTAATCCATGGTTTAACTGAAAAACTTTTTTTTAGAAGAAAAATTATTAACAAAAGTAATTTGTACCCACAGGCTTTCCAACTAGTTTCCTGGTTAAGTAACATACAGAAGTTAAAGGCCTAGTAAGACTTACCAGTGAAGTACAAGAAGCAGGATGATTATAAGGATACCACCACACTGTTTTATAGATATTGATGTATTGAATAAACAGAGCAACCAGCAGGTAGATGAAAAAGAGAAATTCAAAGAGCAGGCTTCCATCCACAGGCAAATCAGGAATTTGGCAATGACGAACAGGACCAGGTGTGATTAAGGCTGTGATAGGTGGGACCGGAAGGCCAATAGCACTACCATTCCTGAAAGAGAAACTATGGTTAACTCAAATGGTGATAATCTTTCAGTGTTATAGAGCATAAAGGGCCCCTGCTTCTTCCTCCACTTAACACTTAAGTACTGGCCTTCCCTCAAGACTCTATCCTAGGAACTCCTGCTCTTGTCTTCTCCCTCTACACACATTCTCTCAGTGATCAAACATGTGGCCACAGCTTCCATTATCTTTAACAGGCTGAAAACTAAAATCTGAGTTTCAGATCCATGTTATCAAGGTGTCTACTGGACACTGCTGTGTTCCTCCTCCTATAATCCTGACGCTAGTTCATGGCCCACTCAGTAGCCACCAAAATCAGAAACCTGGGAGTCATTATTAGAACTTTCCTCTGCCTCTTCATATCCAATGGCTCGCTAGACCTTAAATATTCCACTTTGTAAAGCTTCTTCCACACTGCACCTTCCTCTCTAAAACCACTGCCTTAGTTCAAGCAGTTAACATTTTCCACCTAAACTACTGAAGTAATCTCCCTAAAATTAACTCCATCAAATTCTCCAAACTGCCTTCAGAGATCTAAAGTGAAACTAATAGTGCTATTGTCTTGCCTAAAACCCTTTAATAACTCTCTAGCGCCACCAGGATAACATCCAAATTTTTAGTATGTCCTATGAGGCTCTCTGTTTAACAGATTAGTCCCATCTCTTGCCACCCCTCCATATACAACCTATAGAATATCCATGCTATTTGCTATCTGTGAATATATATGCTATTCTTTTGTACATGCTATGACTTTTCCCAGCAATACCACTCAAAATCACCTTCCTTAACCCCTCACTTACATATTTACTAATGAAATCCATTAAGACTTTTTAAATGATCAAGCATATCCTTCATGAAGCTTACGGAATCAATCCAAACCAATTCACCTTACCCCTGTGCCCCCACTATACCTAAATTATGCCTTTATTATTATACTTTTTATTACTGTTACAAAATTCTTTGTATATATTTTTTATCAGATCATAATCTTAAGGACAGAGACTGTACTTTTCCTAGTTCAATTCACATATATACCTTTATGTTGAGAAGACAGAAGATTAATGTGGTCATGAAAGAGAAATCTCTTAAAATACAAATTAAAATATAGAGATTTTACTCCCCATTTTCTAGCTGTCCTTTCTTCCATGCTTTTTTTTTTTTTTACTTTTATTTATTTATTTGACAGAGTGGCACAGAGAGAGCATGAGAGGGAAGAAGGTCAGAGGGAGAAGCAGACTCCCTGTCGAGCAGGGAGCCCAATGCGGGACTTGATCCCGGAAGTCCGGGATCATGACCCGAGCCGAAGGCAGTTGCTTAACCAACTGAGCCACCCAGGCGCCCTCTTCCATGCTTTTTTATATAGGTCAGAAATAGCTGGGCTATCTAAAATGATAAAACAGGGGTGGATAAGGAATGAACTTTCCCATTGTTTACAGACCTGGGAATAGTTACAGCTATCTAAGGGTCTATTATTGTTTTAGAACAAGGAAAAGAGGCTTGGTTTGGATATTTCCAAAGAAGATTCCAGAGAAGGAACAATATCCACGTTATCATTCTACTCTAAGATTTCCAAATATAGAATTATAGTATTAGTATGTGAAATTTATAGTACTTTAAGTGAATTATGGGAATATAAACTCTGCTCATTCTGAACAGTTAAGAATAGCATGGCAGAGGGGTGCCTGGGTGGCTCAGCTGGTTGAGGGACTAACTCTTGATCTCAGCTCAGGTCTTGATCTCAGGTTGTGAGTTCAAACCCTGTGTGGGGCTCCATGCTGGGCAAGAAGCCTACTTTAAAAAAAAAAAAAAAAAAAAAAAGAATACCATGGCAGAATCTCAGAAGAGCTGGAAGGGAAGAACAGGGATGGGTAGGGAGAGGGTGGGAAAAAAAACTACACAAATTTCTTCCTTTCGTTTCCAAAGATTATTCCAATAGAACAAGCTTACCAGGGAGTTGATTGTGAACTACCAGTAGGTCTCACAACCTCACCTGCTCAATCACACACCAATCATTAACACATCAGAGCCCTCTGCTCTGTTCTGGGACATGGGCCATTGCACAACTCCAGGAGCTATCACTCACATAGAATACAACGTAAAAGGTGCTCTATGGAGTCATACAAGTCAGCAGACCTGAATATAAGGGATTAATGCCAACAGGCAATCTATTCCCTCTCCCTAGTTAATCATAAGATAAGGAAATACAAAATTCTTATGAAAATTATAAGGTCAGGAGCCTCAACTCTAGAACAAACTGTAAATTCTTTTTTTTTTTTTTTAAGATTTTGTTTATTTATTTGACAGAGATCACAAGTAGGCAGAGAGGCAGGCAGAGAGAGAGAAGGGGAAGCAGGCTTCCCACTGAGCAGAAAGCCTGACGTGGGGCTCGATCCCAGGACCTCGAGATCACAACCTGAGCCAAAGGCAGAGTCTTAACCCACTGAGCCACCCAGGCACCCCCAAACTGAAAATTCTTATACCTCTTCAGTCAAAAATACATGAAGGGAGAAAGTATGCTAAATTATGTTATTATTTAAAGGTTAAAAAGGTTCTTACAGAATTTTTTCCAAATAAAGCAGATTAATGTGCTTCTGCTGTTAACAAAGCCAATGAAATGCTGGGGTCAAGAAATATTCAAAACACAGTGCAGAAAATCTACATTTGTGATACTTCACACAGCCTTGGCTATTATACTTCAAGCCAAAAAACAAAGGGTCAAAGATCAAATAAAATGATGCAGAGCATCTGAGGGGAAAAGGAACATTTTTTTTTACATTTGAAAGCTTAATAGATAAAATCAAAGTTCTTAAAACCCCCCCCCCCAAAAAAAATAGACAGTTAAAATAAACAGACTTGGTCTATACATCTCAGAAAATTAGTTAGAGGTATTATTTAGGAAAAATAAAAGTATTTCTCTAAGAGGATATAAAAATAGATGCAAAAAAAAAGCAAAATGGCACAAATACATTTTAGATACAATGTGGGATAATCCTGTCTATCTAGGACTAGACCAGGACTATTGACAGTCTTTGTAGAAAGTAACTTTAAAGGTCAGTCTTTGTGAAAGCAGCCTTTGAGAAAGTAACTTTATATCCTTGAGCCTCAGTTTCTTCACCCATAATGCAAGAGTTGGAACAGATTCTCTTTAAAGAATTCTTTTCAACCTGTACCCCGGGGGGGGGGGGCAAATAGTACATTATATGTTAATAAAAATAATTAAAAAAAAATTTCTTTTCAATGTTAACGTATTCTCTTTCACACTGTGCTACATGTCCCTAAGATCATGCCCAGGCTTGAAGACTCACAGGACTGGCATACAGTTGTGTTCATTACAGTAAAAGGATATAAATCAAAATCAGCAGAGGGAACAGGTACATGGGGCAACGTCTGGAGGAAACCAGGTGCAAATTTCCAAGAGTCCTTTTCAGTGGAGTCATACGGAAGCAACTTAAATCCTTCTGCAACTACCTGTGACGACACACACGAAATGCTGTCTACAGAAAGCCTCATTAGAGACTCAGCACCCAAGGTTTTTACGAAGGTTTTGCTAACATATGGATAAAGCAAGAAAGATTTAAGGAAATAAAAAAGAATTTGGAGGGATAGAAAAAGCAGTGATCATTTGGACATACTTAGGTCATATTATTAAGAAAGTATATGCAAAGACAAAACAAAGAAAAAAAATCACTTAGTCCTTCTCAAATAAGATTCTCCCTCAACTACAAGCTCTCTAGGAAACTCAGAAACTCACAGCATATCGTCCTTTTTTAAAGGCAAACATCTCAGCACTTTCTCCTGTGAACAAATCCCTGTTCTTCATAGGGGAAAAAAAAAAAAAGGACAGGGAACTATGGATTTCAATCTTGATTTTTGTTACCAAACTAGCTCTCTGACACTCCCAAGTTACCTTCACCAATTATGCCACAAACACATGCAAATGCTCTCTTCTCCAGCTGACCTATGTCTTGCAGAATCAAATATATCATCCAAAATTGTGTCACACTTAAACAATTATCTAGTTCTCTCTTCAGTACTCTAGAGACTCCAGAAGTAAGTTCTCATCTAGACCTTGTCTTTCTTTGTACACAACCTTCCTAAAACTATTTTCTAGGCCATCTACCACTGGTTTTATCCATATTTCTTATAACCCTTCCTAGGTGTTACATAATAAGCTATTCTAGGTCTTTTCTTTCCCAACAAGAAACAAACGTAGAATATCTTCTTCCAAAATAACCTCTCTAGATAAAAGTGTCACAAAATAATCACTCAATAATAATTTCAGTAATTTTTTAAGCCATGAACAACTATGATCTTTCACTTTATTCAAATTATGATGAAAAATGCACTCCTTTTCTTACTACCCCCATTGAATATGTTAAAATGGGAGAATGGGTGGAGAAGTTGATCAAGGCAACCATAACTAGAACTCTGAAAGCCAGGACAGAAGAGCTACAAAGAAGGTAGAGAAAAGAATACATGATCATAGCTACATCCATTCAAGGGCACAAGTATTTTCCAAATGTTCCTAGGTCTTCCCAGTATTCTATTAGCAAACTTGAAGGAAGATTTTGGTCCATATTTGATTCCTATGTTCACCAGGCCAAGGAAAAACCATCTAGAAATGTGATTTTCAATTCTTTTTTTTTACTAGCAGAACACTTCATTTTCTTTCCCCCAAAGGGCATTTTACACGATATCCTGATATCTGAACACACAGAGAAGGAGTTAGTCTGATTAAAAAAGGACTAGTAAACCTGAAGCCTGGACTACTAGGCCTACCTAACTCCTCCTCCCTTTGAAGTCTACAGCAGTCCCTGAAACCCTGAGGAGGGATTCCATGGGGCAGTCTGAGAACATAATTATCTAGGGGAATCCACAAAGCCAAAGTAGAAGAAAATGAACAACTGCTGGAGTTAATACAGAGGCAGAGTTAGAATTTTTTAGCTAGCAATAATCCTAGTAAGGCACAGCTACAATTTCCTGTTGCAATTTAAAAGAACTAAATCACTAAATCGATAGTATATATTAGTAAAATTGAGGCATGTACTCAAATACTCTACCTCAAAATCAATGTTATATAGTACCTTCAAAAGCATTTTCACATATTCCCTTTTTTTAGTCTTAAAAATATAGGGCGCCTGGGTGGCTCAGTGGGTTAAGCCGCTGCCTTCAGCTCAGGTCATGATCCCAGGGTCCTGGGATCGAGTCCCGCATCGGGCTCTCTGCTCAGCAGGGAGCCTGCTTCCCTTCCTCTCTCTCTGCCTGCCCCTCTGCCTACTTGTGATCTCTGTCTGTCACATAAATAAATAAAATCTTTAAAAAATATATATATAAAGTAATACATGTTATTGTAGAAATTTTGGAAAATTTAAACTTCTAAAAAGTTGTTGCAATTTACTATTTCATTTATTTTCAACATCCTGCTGTGATAATATCACTGTTTTTAACATGAAGAAATCCAAAAACCAGCAGAGTGAAAAAATAATACTCTAGAATATATTATAAGTACTCTGTATACATACATAAATATAAAATTTTGATAGACAATTAGTATAATGAGAATCAGAGCCTAGAAAATTCCCTTCAAACAGGAATTTCGGGGAGAGCCCCACTGAAACAACAAGATCAGAACTGATTTTGAGGACTGAGTAGAACCTGGGCTGGAAAGTCAGAAAGAAAGAAGGAGGGCAGGCCAGGAAGAGAGAAGTGCACAAATACCATCAGGAGGGCCCAAAAATGCAACGGTTGTACTGATTGCTAGCAGTACTGAAAATCAGAATCCAAGCAAGAGAAAACTCTACTCAGAAAGAAAGCAGAAATTAGGTGACAAAAATTATCTTGATCAAACACTTGATATAAAGTAAAAACCATCTCTTTCCACTGCTACATGACTGAAATACCTCATGAAGTTAGTTATCCTGGATAAGATTAGAAATAATTCAACCTAACTTTTGAAAATTAAGAACAAAGATAAATTTTCATTAAAAGACCACATTCTTTATTCTCATATACCGCTCATAATGTTTGGGTTACAACTGACAGTTTATTCATTTCAAACAATTTTTTGAACAAAATAATTTTTAAGACCCTTGACAGAATATGACTTCTAATTTTAGAATTTCATGTTAACTGTCAGTTTTGATTTGTCCTTCCCCACTCCAAAAAAAGAACGCTAGTAAGTAGTTAAACCACAACACTTCTCTTGTACTTTAATTCTCTTCTCCCTTCTTTTAGTAGCTAACAAAGTTAGAAGTTGGATTCTCAGCCGTAAGTAAGAACTGGACTGCTTTTACTTTGTGGGCCCCATATCACAACTTTCCACTCAAAAGTATTCTGAAATACTGAGCTTTCAATCTTCAAGGGCAAGATTTCACTTCATTGTCAAGAAATAACCTTGGGACCCTGGGTGACTCAGTTGGTTGAGCAGCTGCCTTTGGCCCGGGTCATGATCCCAGCGTCCTGGGATCGAGTCCCACATCAGACTCCTTGCTTGGCGGGGAGCCTGCTTCTCCCTCTGCCTCTGCCTGCCATTCTGTCTGCCTGTGCTCGCTCTCTCTCCCTCTCTCGCTCTGACAAATAAATAAATAAAATCTTAAAAAAAAAAAAAAAAAAAAAGAAAAAAGAAATAACCTTGATAAGCAAGTATCTGAATAGCAAGATGACTGCTATGTTGGCCACACTTATCAGAGAATATTATAAATTATGCAGTCTTACTCTGTTTTTTACCTGTTTCTCAGGCCTGTTCCATTGCCGCAGCCCCCACCAACCAAAGTCTGTAAAGAAGGTAAAGCTGAACGGCTTAGCTGCTGCCGACTAGGGCCCCTCCTTCCGCCGGGCATGTCCGGGAACCAGTCTGCTTCTGGTGCCACCTGTAGCTGCAACCCAGGTTAATGGCTGTCAACCTGTTTCAACTCTGAACAAAGAAAAGACATTTCAGTATCAGTTTACTATTTTTAAACTAGGCAATGTAACAAAACAACAGAAAAACTGACTAAGTAGGCCTTGTGAAACCAGATTTTCAGCTAAATGCTCCTCCAGTGTGGATTACCTACTTTATTCTAATGAAAGGACTAGTCAAACTCTAATAGGTCAGAAGCCTAAGCTCTGACCTGTTTTATTAAGCGTTAGATAAGTCACAATTTGTGTCTTTTGTCAGTCGACTTATGTCATATAAATGATATTACAATCAGGTAAACGTTAACAAGAAATGCCTAACATACGCATTTCCAACTCATATGTAATCTTCCACAGTAAACTACTGGAAATACAGGAGAATCAGCACTGTCCAAAATGTTAGCTTTTGTTATCAAGGGATCTGGGTTCTGAGATCAGATGTGCCACATACTATCTGACTGTAACTGAGGCATTTAACCTCTGAGTTTGTTTCTTCAAAAGTATTCTTTGCCCTACACAGGTTGTTGTGAGGACTGACAGGATGGATGAAAATACACCAGTTGGTCTTTAACTCTTTTAAAAGTAAAATTTTTCAAGTGGTAACTCCATATGTTAGAGTGAAAACATGAGAAGGAGCGATAGTAGATGCCCACTACAGAAAAACTGGTATAAAATCACTTAGAAATTACTGAAACTGCAAGATTAAAAGACAAGTAACAGATGAAGATCCTCGCCGAAAGGAGGGTCCGCCAATATGTATGCCAAAACCTGCTTCCTAAATTTCTTTGTCTTTCAGTATTAATGACTGAAAAACGGCATCCTGGAAAAACCCTGGTTTTCCAAATGTTACTACAGACTGATCCGATCTTCCCTATTCCTAACAGCCTTTGGCTGTGAACTAAGAAACGCCAGGTGGGACAAAACATTCAAACCGTTGGACGTAGGGCCTGCTGGTTCTTGCTCAATTAACGAGGGAAATAAAAGTGGGGAGCAAAAAATTGGGGTAGAAGAGGCGAGAGGATGAGGTGGGGGGAGGCGGATGACAAGAGACCACAACTTCAACAGGCTGGCCCCTACAAGCGGCCAAACGACAAAGCGGTTCCCGAGGCGCAACCCGGGGAGCTGAAGCAGATCGAGACAATCGCATAGCGCGGAAGCCCGATATACTCACGCATGGAGGAGGCCCGGCCGGTGGGGCGGGATCCCTAAGAGAACGCGGTGGCTTTACAGGCTGGACCCCAGGCAAGAGAATTCCCTCCCTGCGTTGAAGCGCTCCAAACCAGCTGGTTGTCCGCAGGCCGTCCCCGCCCGGAGAGTCGAGAAAAGGTATCCAGGCTTCGGGTTGCCAGCCCCCGCCCCAGCCCCAACCCCACGTCAGTACCAGAGTTAGAGCCAGAGCTAAAGTAAAAGGCAGAACCGGGCCGGGTCAGCACTCATCCTCAGCCTCCATTACCGCGGAGCTGAGCAGACGTGGCAGCGCACGGAGATGACGTCAGTACCGCGACTGCCGGACCCTCCAGCCTCGAGCTGGCGTCCGGAACTAAACACTCGGTCTGGGGAGCCGGCACATCCCCTCTCCTGCATGCACCTGCGCAGTGGGACTCGCCTTCTCTGTTGGCTCATGGTCCCGCCTTCTCCTTCAGCGCTCTGTAACGTATTTCCTCCCTGGGCGTCTACGATCCGCTGGCACGATCGTGGGGGTCTTTTGCTGTCTCAAGGACTACCGTTAACAACCACGTGCAAATTATTGCCCCAGTTTTACAGATAGAGTAGGTTGGGAGACGTCGCCTAAGGTCACGTCACTGCCAGGTAAAGCAGCTTGAGTCGTGATGTTATGCTTCAGCACCCAGTCGTGCACTTATTGTATGTGAAGTGAAGGACTGGATGGATGCTCGAGTTAAACAAGGAAATAGCACAGATTGCTGAGTCTATTGAAAGAGACAAGACACCAGGAAAATACACTAATTACAATATAGTAAATGCAACAAAAGTATGCCCAAGGTCAGAGATTAACATACAATTCATTGTAATTTATTCAGTATAGTAAATTCTGTGGGATGATTGTGGTGGCAATACCAAGAAAAACTTGTGAGCTTGGGGTTTAAAGCCAAGACTCCAAGAATGATTAGGCTGTTCGTTGGAGAATAGCTTTCTAGTAAAGGAAGTGGCAGATAAAAAGGTAAAATGGTGGGAAACATGATGAATTCAGAAACTGCCAGTAGTTTAGTATTAGAAGAAGAATAAAAGTGTCAAGAAGAGCATGTGTTTGAAATCCCTGGCTCCAGAGATTTTAAGCACCTTAAGCGAAAGCCCTTTGTATGTATTATCTATCACAGTTACAAATTACTTAAACTTTATTGAGAGTTATTGCTGTGTCTGACACTAAACTAGTACTTTTACATATTTCATTTAAATCTTACATTGCTTTGATACCATCGTTTTTCCCATTTTCCAGAGGAAACAAGGGTTTGTTTTTTTAAGGTTTTATGTATTTATTTGACAGAGAGACAGCGAGAGAGGGAACACATGCAGGGAAAGTGGGAGAGGGAGAAGCATGCTTCCTGCTGAGCAAGGAGCCCTATGCGTGGCTCAGTCCCGGGACCCTGAGATCATGACCCCAGCTAAAGGCAGATGCTTAAAGCCTGAGCCACCCAGGTGCCCCCCGAGGAAACAAATTTTAAGCGAAGTTAAATAACTTGTTGAAAATAACCCAGTTAATAAGTGGCAGAGCCAGAATTTGTAGCAGAATGCCCAATATCAAAAACACTAAAGGTAGTAATATTCTAAATATTCTTAATGCCCTAGCATACTACGGAACTTTCATGCATGAATATATAAAACCTAACATAGATCATTACAAAGTTCCATAATTTTGTACATTTATTTTCATATTTGCTCTGCTTCCTAGGTTGCTCCATTGAAACTCCTTTGCCACTTTTCTGCTGCCTCACCAACATTCTTCATTCATTCAGCAATTATTTATTTAGTGCCTACCGTGGACCAGACACTGTCTTACTGCATAAGACAGATATGCCCCTGGCTTCCTGGCGCTTATATTCTAATGGGAAGCATTTGATAAATAGAATAATTCCACATTAAAAGTATTACAGAGACAAATAGGGGTTAAGGTAGAAAATAAGGGAGGTTCTGTTTTGAGGGGTTATGTGTCTGAGGAAATGGTATTTCAGCAGAAACATGAATGTTGGGAAGGAACCAGAGAGGCATAGATGGGAGGGAAAAGCAGTCAAGACAGAAAACAAAACTTATGCAGAGATTCTATGGTATGCAAGAGCTTGTTACGTTTGAGAAACAAAACAAAGCTGTATAGCGAGGTCACAGCGAGCAAAGGAAAATGTGACATGAAATGAATTTGAAGAAACAGGAAGAGCTGAAACTTGGAGGATCTTTCAAACCAGAGTGTTTGCATTTTGAATTTGTGGCTGGCACCCAGAAATCTGTGATTTTCGTAGTTCCGGGACTCTGGCACTGGTTTACATATGGGAGCCACTGGAATAAACCACCTCATCTGTTAAGGAAATGAAACAATTATTGTTGGGGTTCACATGCAGCTCATTCCTCCTGAGTACAGGGCCCACTTATTTCCCAATCTCTTGCTGTTCTTTCACACAGATAAACATTGTAGAGTTGCAGAAAATACTGATTTATTTTCATCTCAAAGATGTAACACAAGGTGATTTCCATTTTCTTCTGATTTCGGAAAACTGGAATTAGAGAAAATAAAAACTCTTATTAAAGTTTTAAAAATTATTCTCCAGTGTGTTCTTTTTAGACTAACTTTGAAGCCAAGGTTACTGCGGTGTTCATCTCTAACACACTGTTTTAGTTATGTGCTTTCAATGAACCATTCATTTTGAGTACTGTACACCTTCCAGAAGTACAAGAAATGAATTTCAAGTTTTCATTTGTATTCCTGAAGAAGTCTTGTATAATATAGTGTTGAAGATTCATTTTCTCTTCTTGCCTACTCAACAAAAAGTGATTAATATAACCTGTTCCTAATTAATCAACATTATTTTATCTTTCACCATTCTCCAGTGTATATCCTAAACCTCCACTACTATCAATTTATGCTCTTCCCTCACTTTCTGTAAATTATGGTTTCCCAGTTTTTAGTGTCTCCTGAACAACATTCCTTAACTGCAATATTTATTTTCATTTTGTTAGACTCCTCCCACCCCTTTTCCAAATTTCTGTCTCATCTTGATCTTTCTTTCTCTCCCCTGAAACCAACAACAATTACATATTGCCTTATGTTGTAAATAATCTTTGGGGAAATATATTTACCTTCCCACTAGTTCTAAATTCAAGGACACAGATCTCATCTTGTACTTTCATATATTTCCACAGAGCCTAAGATGTTACCTTGCACATTTTAGACAATGAGTAAATGCTTGTATGATAACTATATATACCTATTGTATATATAAACCTATACTGCCCAGTATAAGGTTACCCACAGATTTTTTTCCTTCTAATTCACCTCAATTGTTATAAAATCCTATTACAAAGAGATTTGTGCTGTATTATTTTCCACCTCTTGGGTTCTAACAGTGCTCTATATATTCAGGTACTCAACAAATCTATACTATTTAATAAGAAGTAATTTGATGTTGAGCAAACAACTTCTAGCCTACATTGTACCAGTAACTGTGGGCAAAAAACATGCTCTCTGATCTTCAGTTTTCTGGCTGCAGAGAGTAAGGTGTTTTAAATATGCTGCAGAATGTAAGGAATTGTCATCATTAGACATATTTTCCCAGGGGATGCCTTTTATTCATTCTCTCCTGGGCTTCGATTTTCTGAGAGAGAGAGAGAGGAGAGAGAGAGATGCATTTTGAACCTTTCACTACGCCTGGTGACTTGAAGCATCTAACTCCGCTGTCTAGTTCCAAACAAACCAGCTGGACAAGCCTTGCGCTGCCGGCGGAGCATTAGACTGACGTTCCCGCACCGCCCTCCCAGAGAAACTGGGATTGGGGGCTGGGGGGGTGGGGCGCGAAGTGGCGAGCCGCCATCTCTGTGCGGGGCGGCCCTCCGCCCACGTGGTGCGGCGCCCACGGCCATCTTTGTGCGGGGCTGAGTTTCCGCCCGCGCAGCCGCGGGGACTCCGCAGTGGGTTGCGGGCGATGGAGCGGTGGGCGCGCCCGCAGGTGAAGCTTTGGCTGCTGTTGTTATTACTGCCCCCAGCGCCCGGCCGCCAGAAGGAGTCAGGTGGGCTCCCGGCAGGGCAGAGCCTGCTGCTGGGGCGCCGTCAGGTTCGGTCCGGAGGCGCCCTCCCACCCCCCTGGGTCCCGGGTGAGGCCGGCGGCCAGCTGATGCTCTGGCCGCTGGAGCGCAAAGCTGGGCAGAGGGCACGGGGGAGCCTTGGAGCGGAGAGTGAGAGCGTTTGGGTGGCCGGCGCTGCTTTTACTGCCCAGGACCCTGGAGAGTAACCCGTCTTTCGGGATTGGGATGGTGGGGAAGAGAGGGAATTGTGTTTACCCACAGCGGGTGTCGCCTGCGCTTGGTTGCGCTGCTCCTCCCTAAAACACACTGGGGGATAACTCGTGTGCGTGCCTGCGTGTGTGTGTGTGTGTGTGTGTGTGTGTATGTGTGTGGTTCTTAGTGAATTGCCAGACAGATGAAGGGAGAATTAATATCTGTGCCTTTTAACTGATCCTTTTTATAGGGTTCACTTTGATTAGTAAAAGGTGAGAATACGTGTCACCAGTTTATTCATAGCTTTCTGAGTGCCAGACTTGGACATTTTCTAATTTCTTGGACACCGGACAGCCCGAGTAGAGGAGCAGACTTGACATGAGTGCTGGAGAATTACAGAATGAATTCTTCCTGGCGTTTCGTTTCCACCAGTGGAATGGGAAAGGGTGTCCTAAAGTTTTGGCCATCTGTTGGTTCTGCATGCCTGCTGCCAGCAAATGAGAATGCTCAGGGTATTTTGTTAATTCTCATTTACTTTACTGCTTGAAGGTTCAAAATGGAAAGTATATATTGACCAAATTAACAGGTCTTTGGAGAATTATGAACCATGTTCAAGTCAAAATTGCAGCTGCTACCATGGGTGAGTTCATTTCTTTGATATGTCTTTGAGAGTCTAGTGCTTGTCACAAGAAGTCCCCTAAAATCCCCAAGAGTCCTGGGTTACAGTGATCAGAGGGCCAAGCATGCCTTGTTAAAAGATAAGATTCCTGCAGTGGGTTTCCTATTTCTAAGGAACAAAAATGTACTAGGATAGGAGAGGCCTAGATCGTGTCAGCAAGGCTATTTACTCCTTGGAGTTAGCTACACATACTTGTCCGTGTTCCCCACTAGACTGAAAGCTTCTTGAGATCAAGGCCTATGTCTTAATCATGTTGCATC